TCAAGCGATATGCTATGGCTTTACTTACAGAATAAAGTTTGTGTTTAATTCTGTAAACACTCGCCATATAAAGGACTCACTGTTCTGACGGACTGTTTCATAGTATTATAGATTTACTTCCGATTAGATAACATGAAGTAACAGCTGAGGCACTCGTAGTCTATAAAAGTAGCCGATCTCTAACACCTCCCCAATCTCTCTTTCTCTCTCTCTCTCTCTCTCAAGCGATATGCTATGGCTTTACTTACAGNAATCCAACGAAGATTTCAAATCAGTTCCCTATGAGGAGGTGTTCCCCCAAGAGAAGTTCCCCCAAGAGAGGTTGCACTGTATATACCAAACTCTCCACAAATCCATTATTCTTTATGATTACAACGGAAAACAATAGCCTATAAATGTTCACTCAAATTGTATTTCAAATTCACTGGTAATTCAATTTGCAAATAAAACAAAAATTAACCAAAAATTTTATCTCGATTTGAATTTCAAATTTCCAAACCGACAGAAGCGCTGAGTGTTTGCAAAACAATTAAGTGGAAACCAAAACTAAAATTATATTTATTTCAATTCAATTTAGACATCGAATGAAAGTTAATTTTGTTTTTGTTGTTAGATTTTATTAAATAAAAATTGTATTTTTGGAAACGACTTTTTTTTTATTGCAACTCAATTGCTATAAATGTTTAATATAATCAATAAAAATTGTGAAATTTGTTAGAATTATTATTAGATATACAGTACATAAGACAAATGATTTGACCCAAACATTTAATAGGCTATTGTTTTCCGTTGTAATCATAAAGAATAATGGATTTGTGGAGAGTTTGGTATATATATCAATAAATTATGAGCACCGGAAACATCGTCTATAATAAACTATCATTTTCTCAGTTTCTCTACAATATAAATAATACACTCAATGACAGTATATTTCCCAACCGTTAGTTAAGTTGTCTTAATTATATCAATAAATTATGAGCACCGGAAACATCGTCTATAATAAACTATCATTTTCTCAGTTTCTCTACAATATAAATAATACACTCAATGACAGTATATTTCCCAACCGTTAGTTAAGTTGTCTTAAGCACTAATACCTACTCTTCCAATGGATTAGAAAAACACAAGAATTTTTTTCTTCATATATCCATTCATTAATTCCTTTGACAATACTTTTATGTATTAATGGTTGCATAAAAGATACAAAAACTTTATTAAGATATAGTATAGCATTTGACTGACGCTCTTAACAATGAATAATTGATTTGAGTTTATCTTTGTTTCGCTACTTTTATTACCAGCGCTAAGAATGGTCCGAAAATTTCACGTTATAATCATCTCTTTCTTCATTTCACTCTTTCCTATTGAGTGTCTGATTCTGTGCCACAACTCAATGAATTAGTGTTGAAAGTGAAACATGACTTCAATTGTCGAAATGTATGCTATTTTATACATTCAAATCAATCGAAACCAATGCTCGCCTTAATTGTGTTTGAGTGGAGTCTCACTATTGAGAAGACTTAACACATTCTCTCATTTCAAGATTCCGACCATATGTTAAAAGATTAGTTACAATTCATTGCAATTCAACACAAATCACAACAATTGACGCAAATTACCATTTTTTAGACATCAATACGACATCGTATATAAAATCGAGAAAAAATAAGACCATTTACACAATCAATCATTTCGATGAAATTTTCAACATTTCATTTTAAATTAGTCTAAATATAATACAAGTTCTGTTGGAAAATAACATTATTTACAGAAAAATATAATTTTCTTGTTTTGAAAATGTTTTCCTTTTTTAATGAAAGGAAACTATAAAAAGGTTTTTCAACTCAATCTTTAAGCGCACACTAAAGGAGAGTATTGTTTAATTAAATTTGTTTTACTTATTTCATATGAATAAGCATTAAATTAAGTGAAGTTTTATATACTGTTAGGGAACCGCTTATAGGAGTGTTGTTGTTATGAAAGGATTGCTTTCTATTAGAAATATTTGTTAGAAAAACAACTGAAAACTTTCGCAACGAAAATAAGTATCAAAAGTCGTGAATAGTGTTTAGTCACGAAATACAATCTTAATTAATATGTAATTCTAATGGAGTTTAGTATTCAGTCATTTGCACCGGCGGTTCATTAATCACTAAAACCCGTGTATTATTAAAGGGTAGCTCTTTTTATACCTCGATTCTCATCGCAATTATAATTCGTGATCAGAATTATAGCAATGAATTGAATATTGTATTGAAAATAAATTATTTAAATGCAATTTTGTTGTGTTTTAATTCCTTAACGACTCTCCCATTCATTAGCTTAATGTGAATCCTATGTGTCTTAATTAAGTCTAAGGGAATGGCCAGATATCTGGGCTAACAGTACACTATCGCTATCCAAATAAGCCTTTAGTTTGATTAAGAATTGTTATAAAAAACATACATTTCTTGTTTCACTCAATCGTTGAACTTCAACTAAAAGAGCCGTGTTTTTGAATAAATTAATTGCAAAAACTTATTAAAACTAAAAACAATTAAGAAAAGCAATAATAATATAGCGTTGGAATTGAGAAAATATTCAAATTGAATGCAATTCTCTGTTAACATTAGAGAATATTCTTGATGTGCATCAATATTGAGCTCACATTCAAAGGGACTCTAATTTGTCGAATAATCTCATTATGTCTTTGAAGTGAGAATAGCTTATGGTTTGTGTTGTAATGTGTGTGCGATATATATAAGTAGTCATACCATTACTCTGAACGCAATGTTAAAGAATGTAATATTGCTTACGAACGAGTGGTCAAACACAACACCACAAAACATTTTGCGGCTAATCTAAAGTATGCCAAACTTTTTTATATATACGCTTGTATTCGCTTATTATACTTGAGTTAACATTATATAACATCAAAGATTGTCGTTTGGGAAACTGTTTCCCAATTTACTCGAAACAAGCGTTTGCAATGTTAGGCCACAAACACGATTTGATGGTTATGCCAAATATCATTAACTTTCACTCGTGTTATTTGTCACAAACAGGACAACCAAACACTGACTGCAACACATTATATCTTAAAACACATATTCATATTAAGTTTTGCGTATATTTTTGGTGATGATCTTTGACAGACACGTCCATAAATGGGAGGAAATATAAAATACTTAATTAGCGTTACATTTTCATGCGATCGTTACATTTGCCCGTTATATATCATGTACAATACATAACGTATCACATAATAAATTATATAATCCTTTTCCGTGTAATCATAAAATTTATATTACATTAAGAAAGACGAGAGAGAGAGAGAGAGAGAGAGAGAGAGAGAGAGATTTTCTTTTAATTAAAAATTGTTGTCTTGTGTCTAAACAGTTGTCTTATTTGTTTAATAATTTATTTTTACATATATTATACATCTTATATATTATATATCGAGCGTTAAATTCAATTAAACATTTTATTTATATATTCCAAGGATTAGTGAAGTTTTAATTTACTGTGAAGTGTTTCTCATGTGTTCTCCCTTTCGTCTAATATACGAGAAATTAATTTAATTTATTTTAAGATTTTACGAGTTTTGTTTATATTTCGTGTTTGTCTTTTAAGGGTTATATTCATATGAGTTATCACTGGAAACGTATACTATATTTAAAGAGCAAATCCGTGGCCCATCTCTGCACACGAATCCAGTGCTCAATACTTATAAATGTCTTCTTCTTATATATAAAGTCAATCTCTTCGACAATATTTGAAGTGAATGTAAACCCGAAGTTTGTTTCGAGAGTTTCAATAGAAAGAGTGGCGGAACTTATTATTAATGACTTATAGACCCACACTATAGATAACCATTGAATTAGTTTTTGTATTCACACTATAATTTAATTTTCAAAGATTTTTGCCACAAAATTAATTACTTATAAAATATTTATAAAAACCAGAAAAAACAAGTTTTGATAAATTGTACGTTAAGTCCAATGAATTATTACTGTATTAATAAAACCAAAAAATAATTTAATTGTTGGCTTTATTTATGCGATAAGAATTTTGTACAATATTTTGTTTGTTATTTCTCAAGAATATCTGATACAATGGTTTCACTTTGAGTCTCACTTTTGTCGGTCTATTGTATGTATAGAAACGGGTTTTTCTAAATCAAAACCCAATCTATCATTTTGTTTGTAAACATTTTTCTATATAAAAGTGTAAATATACTCAAGAATTATCTGCGAGACAATATATATGGCTATGAATTACATAAAATATGTGTTCTCGTGTCCGCCACTAGACTACAGAATCCAAGCGAACAATACATAGTCTAAAGACATCGATAGAAATAATATTTTTTGTGCACTTTTGCATCGATAAGCCATAAGCCCTAAAATCAATGTGACTTCTCTTCATATACTGTAAGTGAGAATATAATACAACACAAAAAACACAATACCATCGCATATACAGTACTTTATACTGAATCTCCAGACTATGAAAAAATGTATATAAAATAGAAATATATTTCCATTCGTTTGAGAAATTCATTTCGAAACACAAGAAGAAAGAGTTTTTTGCTTTAATGTGTTGTCACACAAAATGACATTTCAATCTTTTATAGAGACTTCTAAATACATTATCGGCCGACAAATACTAAACGATAAGGCATTGAATGCAATAAACATTTTTATTGTGTTTTTTTGTCAACTTTATATCAAATTCATGTCCCCTTTTAAATATATTAAGACTTTTAAGTTTAAAATTATTTTTCTATAACAAGATTAGCGAAGAAAAAACACTTCTTTACTGTCTTTGAATTCAATTTATGATGAAGTAGTAAAACATTTACATCTTTTACTATTGAATTGTTTTGTTTATTAAATTGTTGTCGAAATAAAACTTCACTTGTCTTCAAACACTTTAACAATACATTTCCAAACATTTAATATGGAAACTGTTTTACTGTATAATCGTTAAGCTATGGGAATGACATTCAATGACACCGAATGACGGGATCTTTTAGTTTTAAAAACAATTAATCTTTATTTTGTCTTTTGTTTCTAAATTAAAACCATTTATTTTCATAATTTTCTTTTATTTATTATTTGTTGTTTCGTTTTTGTGCTAATTTGTGGTATTATTTTGAATGATAAGAATTGAATGATAAATGCCTGTTATATTAGTGATGACTTATTTTCAATTCTAATGTATTGCAAGAAATGCATGATTTAATTAGTGATAACCAAATTGAATGCAATTATTCATAAAATAGTTTCCCGTTTTTATCGTTGAGACAAAGACTCCTATTATATAGCGATATATACCACAAGTGGGCATAAAATGTGGACGAATTAATTGAAAGATCTCTTATCTCTTTAGCTCTATTATCAGGAACTTTGAGGACATTTCAAGTGCACGCCTGCGATGGCGAAGAGTTAAAGCTGGAGTGTCTGCCAAATACGGTGATCAGCATCTATTTGGCCCAATACGGACGCACTGTGCCGTCCCATCAACTCTGTCCCACACCATCTCCATCTTCCTCCACATCACTTTCATCACACAATTCTTCGATCACTTATAACGAGACAACCGATTGTTTGACATCCGATTCGCTGAGAGTATGACTTAATTAATGATTTTGTTTATTGGACTGTGAATTGAGTTTTGCAAATGTCTTGCTTTCAGATTATTTATTGATTGTGTTTAAGACTTACAATAGAGACAAGTCTTTATCCGCCTTTTATTATTGATAAATCAATTAAACACTTGTTAATTAAAGTGTAATTAATTTAAAATTAGCACATTTTATGTCAATTATCTTACATTACGTCTACTATTAATATTTACGTCGGAAAAAAGTTGTAACAATTTGTAATTGATTTAGAAATTAATTATTGTTGTATTAATTGTTTGTTTAGTACTCTCTGTTACAAAAAGTCGAGTCTTCATGTCGTGAACAACGGGTCTGTAAGTTCATGACATCTCCGCAATCGTTTGGTGGTATAGATCCCTGTCCTGGGGTCAGGAAATACGCGGAAATTGCATTCAAATGCAGGCCCAGTATGTGATCGCACTTTTCAATCCCAAATAACATAAATTTTCAACAAAAATGACATTAATTTTACACAAAATATAGACACGTTTTACAACAAAGTCGTTTGCGAAGGCGATAGGCTTCGGCTCAAGTGTCACAAGACGTCGAGAATTGTCATATATTCGGCGGCCTTTGGGTCCACACAGTCGGGAGTCCCGGAGTGTCCGCAGACGGACGCCAGTCAACCGGTCTCGCAGTCGATCACACCGTCAGAAGAGTGTCGAGTGAGTTATGCGACGGAAACTGTGATGAGCTCATGTCACGGACGCAAGAAGTGCTCACTCGAGGCCGATGTCGGCACGTTTGGCGATCCCGGATGTGCTAAGTCTACTCGCCTTCACTTGAAGGTTGTCTACACGTGTGTACCGAAGGACGCGCTCAAAGAGTTGGACATCGGAGTGACGGCCGCCGACACCGAGAAGACCGGCGGTAATAGTGATAGTCTGTCCAATGAGGACGGCGTCGACACCAGTGATTACACGGGCTTTGTTGAAGAGCCCCGATATATACCGGAACAGGAGGTGTCGTCAACGCCGCGCTCTTCTGGCCATAAAGTGCTAAAAGAAGATCCAGTGGTCGTCTCCACGAAGAATACGAACCAAAAAAGTGATATAATTCCCAATAATAGTAACTATAATATCGCTAATAATAACAGCGCCGACAGTGATGTTAACTGTACTTTAATAGCGCCGCCAGAAAAGGTTATCGGCTTTATATCCGACTGGATATCAGCCGTTAATTTCATTAAAAGTATGTCTATTTATATTAAAGTATTTTATTTGTTTTTATGTCAATTTTTTCGTTTTATTTCTTATAATTACCTTAAAAGCAATTTTTGTGACATATTTATGAATCAATTAAGTGTTTATAATGCATGTTATATTGGATATGAGCTGAGGTTAAGTCACGCATTGTTTGATAATTTATTGACAATTTTTTGCAGACTTTGCGCTTAAGATTTAAAAAGATTTTCGCAACAAATTGATAAAATGTTATAAACTTTTCTTCAATTCTTTTAATTAAATTCTCAATTAGTTATCACTCTTTAAAAATAAACTTTTAGTAACTTTTGAAAGTTTACATAATATAATGTAATTAATAACTAAATGTAACTAAAAATAACTAATATACTAATTTTTAAGCAAATAATATCTTGTTTGAAGTGTTAATATGAAAACTAAATAATCAATTGAATCACTTTGTATTAAAACAGGAAATACAGAGCGACTGCTTCTGTATCTATTGGTGTCATTGTGCGGATCATTGGTTTGCTTCTTAATAGTATTGTCTTCGCGTTTATTCATTCAGAAGAGAAGAGTCATAAAGAAGGCGAACGAAGATATGCCGGCCTGTCATCCATTCGGCGTTCTTACCGACGAACACGTGGACGACATACTGGACCAGTTGGACGGCGTGACCACTTTGACAGAACCCCTTAACCATAGCCACAGTCACAACCATCATCACCATCCCATTCAAGTGGTCAGATATGGCAACTCTAACGGTGCCAATGGTGTCAACACAAACACTGCCACCAGAACCTCCTCTATTAGGAGACAAAATAGTGATACAAATCCTCGTTCATTGACTAGAAGTCTAAATAATTATTATTACAATTGAATACTGAAATATCAAATGTTTTTTCTACAAATGAATTTCATTTTTAACGAAAACTTCAACAAAAAAAATTTGATCAAATTTTGTACTTTTGGCAAAAATATTAATATTTAAATGAATTTCTCACTTAAGAAGCGTTTTTATGAAGTGAAGTACAAAATCGATTACAAATCTTGTGTACATTTTATTTATTTGTTGTCTTTTTAAAACAGATCTCATTATATAATAATATAAATAAAACTTTTTTCTATAGATCTTTCGTAACTAAATGTATAATAAAGTTAGCATTTAATCATTTATTTGTAAAATCTGAACAAATTTTAATTAACATATAATATAACAACAAACGTGTAAATTAAACATTAATTTATAAAAACCATTAAATTATTGAATTATTTAATCAAATTATTGTAAAAATGACATTAAATTAAACAAATGTTTTAAACCTTAAGCGAATGTCTCAAATTATTTAAAATTTCCTTCAAAAAGATTAATAATCAATGAATTTTCATATAATAAATTCCAATGCAATAATCAAAACATTGATTTATATTTGATATTTAATAACTTACAGTTAATAATAATAAGATATTGATATTCTTACTTACTTTATTTGTTAGAATAAATAGTTGTTACCATAGAATAAATAGTTGTTAGTTGGTATAACATATTTAATAGTTGTATTACTTTGAAACATCCGTCAATTTTGGGAATATTAATAAATATGTTTTCCATTTATTCCGTGTATTCAGTTCTCGGCATTTATTAAAGATCTCAAAGTATATTTCATAATAAGAAACAAATCTTATTTAGGATTCAATAGCTACACTTATTGATCAAAAGTAATTAAAAATCCAAATAAGTTAAAATATTAAGTTATTATCCAGGTAATTATAAAATAAGCATTGAATTTAAATGTATTGCATTACTATTTTAATAAACATTAATACGATTCTTGTGTAACAAATGTGAATTTATATTTCACTGCAATTTATTAATAAAACAACAAAATAATGGCAATAATTTTATTATTAATTCATTCAAATATTTATAATCATATTATTTAATGGAAATACAGTATTGAAATAATAGGAAACATTTTCATTGGTTATAATTATTTTCAGGTTGAAATAGATTAAAAGGATGTGAACAGAAATTTAAAACATAATAATCATATTTTATACAAACATAATTTGGTAAAAATTTAATCTTTATAAATACTTTCAATAATTAAAATTAATTCACTAATTACTTCATGAATTAGGAGTCGAATAAAATACATCATAATTATCATAAATATCAGAGTATAGTATAGACAGGCTTTAAAATTAATGGTTTGACTATATTTTGTTTTTGGTATAAATGAGTAAAAATAAAACTTAAAACAAAACATAATTATTATAATTTCAATTTAAACGCTAATAAAAACAATATATTAAACATTTTGTTATCGTCTTATAATATCTACAAAATGCAGACCTCATTACTAGAGGTACTCCCAACCCATATTCATTACGGGTCTGATAGCAACAACTTATTACTAGTTGTGTCAAACAATTGGTGAGCATTTTGTTTGCGAGTATCATTATTTTCAATGAGATTTCATTGATTATGTTTAAACTGATGGTATCTAAGAATGTGTGAAATCGGTTAAGACAATGACCATTAGCTGCATATTATTATATGAAATGTTGATGTGATGAAGACATGCGTTTCATTTATCATAAACAGAAACACAACGGCTTGAACTGTCTCTCGTGGACACAATGAGACTGATTCTTGTATTCATTGATGCGAGTGATGTCTCCCTTCACCGCCCAGTGATGGGATCGCGCCGTCCGAAAGAGTTGAGCCCTGAATATAGCATCCGATGGTTTGACACTTACGGTGATTTCAATTCGACTTTCAAACCCTTTTGGCTTTGCGGTCGAACTGCTCGGAAGAATAATCTATAAACAATGGTAAGACATGTATTATTATTTCAATTCACAATTTACTCAAATAAAACCAATTCAATGGGCATTACTTCGGCAGAAATGGATGACTCGAGTGATAATTTATGGCATTTTTCTTGAGGCACAAAATTATTAATTCGTTGAATTAATGCTAACGAAGCGATTCTGACAATCGGTTCCGAAACGTTCATTGATTTCCGTTTATCACAAACACAATAATTGTCGGGAATTAATGCATTCAAACACGTCCTCGAGTGGGGTATGGGTTGCCTCCACGGAGAGTACGATCGGAGCTCATGTGGCACTGGATTTAGTGGTGAATACTTTTCTGCAAATAATCATAACAGAAATCAGTGAAAAAGTTATTTTCAAAAATAATTATTAAAAATGCTCACGAAATGCAATGTCAGCCAACATGTGGTGTAAGTCTAACCAAGTCATCAGTCGTTCACTATTTGACTCCAGAGTCGGCAATAAATTTGGATATTTTTGATTCAATTGATCGGGAATTCTAACCCCAAACAAAGGCATTCGTTCTTCAATTCTGCCGATCACTGTCTGCAATAGGGGTCCAAATCTGTTGCCGTGATCTCCCTATTCGACACATTCAACAATCAGTTAACAAATCAAGT